AATGGAGTCACAGGTAGACAGGGTGGTGAAGAACGCGTTTGGCAAATGTGCCTTCATTGGTCAGTGCATCGAGTATAGGAGTTAGGAGGTCATGTTGTGGCTGTACAAGACATTGGTGAGACCACTTTTAGAATACTGCATTCAATTCTGGTCTCGCTGCTATGGGAAAGATATTGTGAGATTTAAAAGAGTTCAGAAAAGATTTACAAGGATGTTGCCGGGGTTGGAGGGTTTCAGCTATGTGGAGAGGCTAAATAGGCTAGGACTTCTTTCCTTGGAGCATCAGAAGCTGAGGGGGGTGACCTCGTAGAGGTTTATAAAATCATGAGGGGCAAGGATAGGGTGAAGAGCTAAGGTTTTTTTTTTCCCAGGGTAGGTGAGTCCAAAACTCGAGGCCATAGGCTTAAGGTGAAAGGGGAAAGATTTTAAAGGGACCTCTGGGCAACTTTTCACACAGAGGGTGGTGCATGAATGAAATGAGGAACTGTCAGGGGAAGTGTTGGAGGCTGGTACATTAAAGCATTTAAAAGGCATCTCAATGGCTACATGAATTGAAAGGGTTTAGAGGGATATGGGCTCTATGCTGGAAAATGGGACAGTTTCAGGACATCTGATTGGCATGGAAAAGTTGGACTGAAGGATCTCTTTGGTGTATAATTTTATAACTACCAATTTGAGACAAGATGCAATGTATTGTTCCCATGACATGTTAGCTGGAAGCAGAAATGGATGGATTCAGGCATGTACCTACAGTCTCCCTATTAATATTATCAGGAAATAGCCATTTTATAGAATCCCTACAGGGCACCTCGCAGCGTAGGACATTGAAAGCCCTACGCAGAAAACAAAGATCAACATGAAAGGTTCAACTCCAGGAGCCGCCACATTCATAAGCCTGAGAGATACAGCATTTTAGAGCATGTATCAAACAGTGTCAAGACTAGATTCACAAAATGTCTCACCAAGCTACACAATCAGGTCAAAAGAATGAACATGATCATTGGGGCACAAAGTGAATGACATTCAGCCTGAGGAGGTGGGGCCATAGTGTTAATGTCACTGGACTAGTAATTCAGAATTGCATATTTATCTTCTGGGAAAAGTGTTTGAATCTCATTACAGCAAGATGATGAAATTTGAATTCAATAAAAAAACGTAATTAAAAGCTAATGTTGTGACAACCATGCAACCACTGTTGATTGTTATAAAATCCCATCTGGTTCGTTAATGGCCTTTAGGGAAGGAAAACTGCCATTCTTGCCCAGTTTGGCTTGTATGTGACTCCAGATCCACCAGCAATGTGGTTGACTCTTAACTGTCTTTTGGGCAATTAACAATGGGCAATAAATGTTGGCCACATCTGTCAAGAATGAATATACAATAAAATAATGTATTGGCATAGTGTTGCCAACAGAGGCCTTTGCTACTGTCCTAGGGCCAAAGAATCATACGGTACCTGGTTATATGCCCACTGTTGCAGGCTTGGCACAATTCGTTGATAAGTTGTGCAGATGCAAACGTCTGTCCACTTTGCACACCGACATGTAAGTATCCACAGAAATGGCAAGTAATCATTCGACAAGTTGACACCAAACTCACTGAGTGCTATGACTTAAGAGATTCCATCCCTGGGATCTTTAAACTTGGGTATCTCTAAATAACTCACCATGATCACCCTAGATACTTGATACTGTGGACACCAGGGGTTCAATGATCACATGTGTGCCAGCACGCAGGGATTTGTCCTTGGACATGAGTTGCCAAGACAATGATGAGGACCACAGGCTACAAGGAGTACCATTGGAAATGCAGCACTTATAGTGGGAGAAGATCACTTAGCTCTATACTGTAGATCACCAGTCAAATGGCTACATGACACGATGTGAACTGAACAGGTATACCTGCACACTTCATCTCACTGATGGACGCAAAGTACTACTGGGCAGGCGGGTGTATACACCCATTCTCTCCCCAACCCTCCAGGCCCACCAACCATCTCCTTCCCCTGCTATCATTGACCAAAATGCACAGGAGTGTGTGATGCATTAGTCAAGAAACAGGGTAAGGTGAAAGATGCCTCTGAATATCATGCATGATATGGGTAATTAACTACCCAATGTCGAACATTCGACCAGACGTTTGAGTACATCTTCCAATTGATAGCCCACCTGGATTGCAACAGACACCATCAGCACATGACCAGAAGCAAGACTACATCAAGTAAGAACATCAAAAGACATGACAGTGCAATGAAACAGAAGACAAATCAGAACAATATCACACCAGAAGCACCAAATAATCCTCTGGAATCAGAACATGATCTAAGATGCACTCTAACAAAATACCCCTACCTGGCATTCCAAAAATGTATCACAACCTTCAGCAAAGACCACCATCACTAAGACTGAATAGATAAGAAAAATGCTAATAACTTTCAGAGACATGTAAATTTATTACTTGTTGTTAAAGTACATTCAGTCACAAAGTAATGTAAATAATCTGACTCATTATGGGTAAACTTATAGTTAGAAAAAAGGAGAAGGTTGTAACATGGTGATATATACTTTTAAGGGAGTGTATTTTAACCTATTGTTAATTACTACCGTCTTCAGGTTCGGATGTGACATATTAGTCCCATGGCTTTCTGAGTCAGTGGAAACAGCAGTGGACAAGGTCAGACATTATTTCACAGCCTCCCAAGTGAGGATTATTTGTTTATAACTAATCTTCAAATAGAAAGCCACATAATTTATTTACTAATTCTTGTGTGTGATTGCTACATCTACGTCTAAGAGAATAACATAACTCAATCCATCCCGGAAGCTCGGATTCATTACTCAAATTTCGAGAAGTTGTCCTTGTGCTCTACACAAAGTGGTGATCACTACATACATTAAGACTTTGCTGTAATCCTACCTTCCGCTCAGGTGTACAGGACAGTCAGGGCAACACAGTGCACAGAACCGGGTGTCAAAAATCAATCGGTTGCATGCCTTAGTTAAAAGCAAAATACTGCAGATTCTGGAGATCTGAACTAAAAGTAGAAACTCAGCAGGTCTGGCAGCATCCGTGGAGAGAGAAACAGAATCGACTTGTCAAGTGCGATATGCCTCACCAGCATGTTCTGAAGAAGTGTGTATTGGTGTCAAACTGTTAACACTATTTCCCTTACTGCAGATGCTGCTTGACTCCAGCACTTTCTGTGACCCCGTGATGATGATGAGCAGCCCATTTTCCAAAACTGTTTAATGCCCCACACTTCCTTTGCTTCATGCAAGAACATCGGAACAGAACGGAGAGTGTAAAAACTTTGTCAGGAAATGATACAGGTCAATTGAGGTGGTACAAATTAATGGCTGAAGGAGCTTGAAAATATGAAGGAAAGGAATCTGGGGCAAGGGAGAAAAAGGCCAAAGGGAAACAAAGGGAGGGGAGCGAACCAGGGGTTCTGGAAGGAAAAAAAAGGAACAAACATCTAAGGAATGATTTAAAAATATCGATCTGAGCTAAATGTAAAGAAACAGCTATTCTTTTTGGAGATAGTAGGAACTGCAGATGCTGGAGAATCTGAGATAACAAGGTGTCGAGCTGGATGAACACAGCAGGCC